AATCATAAAATGTGACTGATGCATATTATCTGATTATAGCAAACAAAACAAAAATCTCCCCTTACTAAAATAAAAAAGTGATTTATTATCTGAAGATTATTTTTTCCTCTATTCATGCTATATATGTGTGGAAGCTTTCAGTCTTGTAATGGTGTGTAAATACATCAGCTGGTAGCTAGGTTTGTATTAAAAAATAATAACCAGGATTTCACAGAGATAAGAAATAGTTTTGAAAAATCCAAGTCAACGGTAAATCAATTTAATTCATTAATATAATGTTGCTGATTCTAAATTCTTCACCTAGTCACTTTTTTTCTTAATGGTTGCAAGTCATAATAAAATTATGCACACAAATGTTGAAAAGTCAAATCATCATGCTATGAAGAATATTTAAACATACTCTTTTAAGAAACAGTAAATATTTTCTGTGCTGACCAAGAAATTTCTCTCATAAGTAGGAATACTCCAAGGTGGGTTTTTGCCACTCCAGGTCTTTACCATGTATATTCACAGTCAAGCTAAAATAAATATTCTAGTGATCAGAATACTCCTCAAGATGAAAGAGTGGCTTAGAGCAGCAGACAGTGAGAAAATGTTTACCAAAGTCAAAATGAAGTGGCATTTAGTTCATCCAACTAAACAGAAAGCAGTCTAGAGGGCAAATGTTTTCTAATGAAGGCCTGATTTCTCCCTAGCTTAAAGCTTTATTGAATTTGTTACTCTCCCACTTTTCACTTGGGGGTAGGGAACACCTAGGCTACATGTGCCTAATTTTATGCGGTATTCACAGTGCTTTTTATTTTTGTCAAAACAAAAATATTATCCTCTCCTCCATAATGTAAATATTTGTAACTATTAAAGACAAAAGACATTCCCCATCTTTGAAGGTATTGGAAAGTCCAAGGTACATACCAGGAATTCTATTAATCAACCATTAGGTAGTCTTCATCAAAGTACAGCAAGCTTTCCTCAGCTCTCAACACATACTTCATGGGAAGGCGCTGGACAGTGTTTATTTTTACCAAATATAAAGTACATTATGGCAAGTATCAAAAGAAAATTAAACTCTCAAAATAAGTGAACAGTTAACATTTTGTGATGCATTATAATCTTGCTGCATTTTTCTTCCCCTCTCCACTTGCTCATTAACTCTCAAAATTCAGTAAGTTATTAATTAGGTGCTACAGTACCTACTTTCAGCTATTTCTACATTCCAGTAAAGGCTACCATCTCTCCAAACATTAACAAGTTGAATGTTTGGTGGTGCAATAAGGATTTGGATTCCCAAGGAAATGCTTAGTCAGTTAAATTTTTAAAAAGCTGAATCACTAATTCAAGCTGGAAGAGACTTTTGGGGAGAACTCATACTGCTTTACAGCTTGTATCACAGCTAAAGATATCTGCAATATGCTATGTTTCAGAAAATTTCGATGCAATCAACTGATCTATTTAGATAAATTATTACGTCTACTGAAATCCACAAAAATGTGTAGCAATACTTCTGGTATTTATACGCTGCATTAACTTCAATACAGGAAGCAGTAGTAATGTCAGCTGTATTGAAGGTGTGCAAGATGCAGGTATTTGTAAAGATAGTCATTTATGGGTTCCACTATATTCATGCATAAAAATAGAGATTTTTAGTGTGTCCAAAGTGATATTAGAATCAAGATCTCTTTTTATTTAAGTCAACATAGAAAAAGGGAACTTGTAATGGTCAATGTTTAATGTTTTGTATGGATACTTTTCCATGCCACTGCTTTTATGAAAATTATTCTGCTGAATAATATATTTTAATGTACAATGGCAAGAAGGGAACAATAAAAGCAGAAGAAAAGAGCTTGTTTAGAAGGGATCAACAACTGTAACTACTATTTTTTACAATTTTCAAGACACAGCAACTTAATTTCATATTCCTACCAAACCACTTCCAGTAAAAGTGTTTTCTGCAGTTTCCTTGCACACTAAACAAGCCATAACTAAAGTTTGGCTATTGCAGAATGACTAGAAGAGGAAAGGTAAGTTCCCCTTGCACTATCAATGTTTTTCTGCACCATGAAAATTTAGTGCACAAGCCTAATTTTAATAATCCCCTTCTGGGCTAAAATGAGATTTGCTATATCAGTGTTAAAAAACGATCTGTTTATTCAGCTTGTACAGTGATCTAGCAGTAGGTGGGTGTTCTGGAATGTTCATACACACAACACTGTGCACATATTTACTGAGATAACTTGAGGAGTTGCTGTTCTGGAACATTCTCACACAGCAATTACTGTGCAAATAAGCAGACCCTGGAGCACAGGCATTACAACCACCACAACTCCTGCAAAAGGATAGGCTTGGAAAAACATTCTGAAGGGTGGTTTTGCTTAATTTTTTATGAGTATATAAATATGGCTGGATTTTGAATTCTAGAAAAAATTCTCAAAACCTTTCCATCTATACATTTTGGAGGGTAAAATATTCCCCTCACCCTTGACATACATTTTAAGACACTCCACTGGGAGTATACCCAGTGTCCAGGAGATATAATTTTACTATTGCAAGTGTAGACCGCCAGTTATTAACATTCACAATGTTTAGATGCATAAGGAACTCATACACCACACAATGGTATCGAGGGGGAGGGGGAAAGCACTTCTTGATGAGTGATGCTACACTACCATTACTTTAAATTAATGATAACAAATACTGGTCTGTTGGGTTTTGCTTTCTTAACATGGTTTCCAGATGAATTTTGTAACTGTTTGATTAATGTAAAAGATTTAGTGTCTGACTTTTGCCAGAGCATTCACACAGGTTTCCCCCACCTTCCACTAATCCCCCTCCTCCCACCTCTGCCAATAAACCTCAATCCTATGTACACCGAATATTCCAGAAATGGGCCCTTCTCACGTTCTGAGCAGCGACTCCCAATCACACAAAACCGTGTGATGTTTATTGTAAGGAGTATGCTAAGTCACACTTGCTTGACTTATGACTTAATTCAAATTTTAAGAAGGGGTTTCTAAAGGAACAGAACTGGTACACGTAACCCCCTGCACCACAAGGGCAGCTCGCCCCAAAATGGGCAACAAATAATTGTTCTTAAAGCTTTCACGTTAATACTGAAAATGCCACAATTTCTACTAAGATAATCACAGAGTTGGGTCTCTACTATTATTCATCAGTGGCTACACTTCTTAAATACAGAATGTGCTTTTTCCACCAAATAAACCTTACATAACTAAAACTTTAATTTTAAAAGTATGATAAATGTAATCCTAAATGCACTCATTCCTTTCAAAAGGAATCTCCAATTCCAACTGTCACTGATTAAATATTAGGTTATCATTTAAATAAATGTGACATAAAAGCCTGCAAGCCTCTTTACACTGCATCACCTGATAGATTTCATTTTGTTTGGTTTTTCCACTAAGATTTACAACATTAAAGGTGGGCCATGGGGTCTGAATATATTATAAACTGTCCTATTTTTGTGGCTTTCTGCACATGTTAGAGTCCAGAAAAATGGACTTAATGGCTAATATCCCTTTTGCCAGCCCCTGCTTCTATAGTGAGTTTTAATGAGGTTTTATACTCAGTGTGTCATCTGAAATTAAATTAGCATCTTCTTGATGACAGACAAAGTACATTTGTTTGCTTAGAAGCAAACACCGGTGTCTAGCTATCGGACACATTCTTTTAGTGTAGTCATCTACTCCTGGGAAATCAGAATGGCTTTTTCCATAAGGTATCAGTGCCTCCACATCTGCTGGCAAAAATCAACTCTCACCTCCCCCTCCCTGCCCGGCGACGCCCATCTTCATTTCAGAGTCAACAAACGTCCAGTCGAGACAAGCCAGCCACATGGGACAATATTAACAAGAGTCAGTGGCTGACACACCCATTTTACTAATCAGTGTTTCTGCTTATTTTGAAGCATCTTTCCAACAAGGCTAAAGATAATAAACTCAATCCATAATAGGCTACATTAGTAGTTGCATAAACATATCTTCATATGAAGTTATGTGAATTTATAGCATGTTGCGTTAGTAGCCTCTAGTGCCTTCACTCACAATACAGTTTCATTACATCAGTTTCTCCTCTATTGATAACTCCCATTTCTTTTTCTTGGCAGATTGCATTTTAACAATTTGACATACACTTCTGTGGCATCTGACAAAGCAAATTGGCCATCACTGGGCTCATTATAGGAGGATACTTTCTGCTTCCTAGGGATGCTTCCTCCATTGATGTTATAGATCTGTATAACAATCAGATTATTTTCCTTCTTGCCAGAAGATGAAAAAGAGCTAAAGCCTAAGAAACCCACACACTAAAAAGAAGTCTGGATATATATTGCATGTACTTATAAAGCAGCACCAACATAGCTCTCCAGAAAGATATCGTTCGTTATTTACAGTTTCACGTGGACGGTCTCATAAAGAAGGCAGTTTTTCTGAAGAAGTGTAAAACTTTCTCCTCTCCAATTTTTTTTTTACCTTCACACACCTAAATGCCTCCTTCCAATACATTCTGCAAAGAGGGGAACCGCCAAAGAGGAGCCTCTTTTTAAAATACCCCCGTTCAAAAAAAATTTTTTAGCTAAGGACTCTGTAGCGTGCTAGAAAACGAGAGCACCAGGTGCATGACGCCGGAAAGCCGCTGGAGGCTGATGCTCAAGTGTATTGTTAGTCCACCCCACCGCACCTTCGAGATGGGAAAAATCACCATCCCCTTCCCTCTCTCCCTTCGAATCGACCCACGCACGAACACCATCACGCCCAAGCTGCCTGCTCTAGGCATCCAGGAAACAAGACACCTGACCTGCAGCTAACAAACGTGGCCGTCGGCGACTGCCTGGCTCTGGTTAAAAAGCAGGGCTCAAACTCACAACAGCAATGGCAGCAGGCGCAGCCGCCTCTCCACGTTGCGGCTCACTGAGGCTTTGCGCTGCAGCAGCCAGCTGCTCTCCCTAGTGTGTGCCCGCCCCAGCATGGCTATAAGGACTCACTCACCTGTAGCCAGGCATCGGCACTGTAGAGACTGGTGGCATCCGCCTCTGGCGGCAGCAGCTGTGCGAGGCGGGCTGGCAGGCAGCGCACACGAGGCACACGGGGAGGGGCGGTGGTGTCATATACCAGACACTACCATTCCGCCCCCTTACTTATGGGGGAAGCGAGGCGGCGCGCCTGGCGATCAGGTGATAGCGCAGCGCCCTACCCTGCAGAGCCGGGTGATTCCTGCCGGGCGCGGGGAGAGGAGGAAAAGGGACCCTCCCCGCGTTCGGATTTGGAACTCCCAAGTCATTAGCATTCGAGAACGCGCGGCCAGGGAGGGCGGCGGCGGCAGCAGCAGCGGAGGGACGTGACCCCCTGGCCGGCGGGGCC